ACATAATTGCCTCTAACTTTTCGTTTTTGCCGTCCAAAGCCGTTTACTTGGTACAGAATTTGGGTGTCCGGTGTTTTTCCGTTGCGAGCTGAACCATTTTACATGGGCCAACTAATTTGGTTTGTACAAAGTTTGATTATATTTTTGGGGCCAAATAGTTGGTGCTAGGCGGTGTTTTTGGCTGCTTTCTGGCTGCTTTGTTTTGCGTTAGCTGTGTTGATTTATTCAGCACAATTAAATGCCAACGCAGTTGTCTGCACTTGCTAATTTAATTAGCGGCCTTCATGGGACTCCATTCTGAGAATATTTTACCACTATTCTGTTCGTGTCCAGTTCATGACCGTTTGACAGTCGTATATTTTCGTAGGCAAATAAGTCCAATTTATTCGATGCTGGCACATACATAATGAGCAGATTTCAAAATTGTCCTGTCTATCGAATCTAAGTGCTGTGATACCTATGTTGCACACAGCAAGTCAATTAAGTCATTTTTATACTTATACTATAAGTATGGTTTCTTCTGAAAGTTAGGTTTTATTAAAATTATGAGCAAAATGTATTGAATGTATGCATTTGCCACAAAAGAGGCCTTCGAGTACTGAGAATAATTTGAATTTCTTATTATTATTTCACTATCTTGCGAACGACATTGTCGATCGACGTGCACTTTCCATTTTCAGCAATTTAATGAACGAATTTCAATAGGAGGGTTGGGTCCACGGGGAAAATCATATATCGGGGAGGACTTTTAATATTAAATTCGCACGCACACAATGCATGCGTTTGCTTTTGTCACACACAGATACGCAGGCTCACCCACATCCAAAGGATTCGAAGGATGCACGCACACAAACGCCCACATATGGAGGCGTATCGGAGGTCCTGCAGACTCGACAACCACGTCGGCTCAGCTGCCTGGACTCGTGGGCTGATTAAAACAGATTTATTGCTTTAAATGTAATTTACATAAAAATCAGACAATAAGTTCTGCAGAAAACGTTGGCAAACGGAGGTTTTCACTTTGCAGGGGGAATACATTCGAAGCTCGCCCAAAAATTACTTCACTATACGCATTCAATAAATAATTTCAATTTGAATATTTAATTTTCACATTCGTGCGTTCATGGATTAATTAATCCCTCAAAATATTTACATATGCTATTATATATGGTGCATACGCCACGTATGTAATCAATCTAATTAGCTACAGTTCTATTAATGGACACTTCTCTGCATATGGAAACATAGGACTGCTTTCCCTAACCGAAATTATAATGTAGCGCTCAAATCTATTCAACTAATGATAGGACCAAAATCCCTGTGATGTGTTGGTAGAAAGTTTATCTTGTTTCAATCAATTGTGTAAAATGAATAAATAAACTATGCGTGCAGCTCCTAAAATCCCTGCATCGCTTGGAGTAGCAACATGATTACAGTTACTTTTAATTATATAAATTAGGTACACTTCCCTCTTATTTAACGAATTAATTTACTCCCAGCTTTTGTGTCAGCAGATCGCTTGCCGAAATTTCCTGGATGAAGGCAGGTGAATAAAGGAATGGCTCCTGCGGCTGGCCGCATATGTGGGCCAACTTAGTGGCAATAAGTTAAATTAGCATAAACTTAATTAGCATAAGAGTGCTGGGCCAACTGGGAGACGGTAGATAGAGAGACCAGGTGGGTGGTTCCCGCCCACTCTGCATATATTTCACTGCAAATCCGCAGCGCATTAAAAGAAAACACGTGGCAAAAAAAGAGCTTGCTATACTATATGCAAGTATAAAATAAAATGCACAGCAAAACAATGAAGGCAGCAGGGGCAGCATTTTCGAGTCTGGGGATTGTGCCAATGAAGTAACGACCGCACACACAGATACAATGTTGCCCAGCTCGTAGGTTGGTGGTTTGGATTGCAGAATAGCAGGATGGCGGGATGGCGGGATGGCGGGATGGCGGGATGGCAGGATGGCACTGCGCTAAGTGACTGCTGTTATACATTTAGCCGGGGCTGATGGGATTGTGCCGCGCGATACGAAGGAGCAGATATGGCCAGAGATACGTGCAGAGTTGGAGTAGAGAGTGCGAATGGCCACCTCATATGCGCTGAACAAATGTACAAATGTACTCCAGTGGACTACACAGCTGCCACCTGGCGCCGCCACCTGATCCCCAAAGCGGCCAGGAGCGCGACAAGATAAAAGCTGGCGCACTAAATCTGCTGCTATGTGCGCCACGGGAACCAGTGGGCAACCTTCCACGGCAGCTCCAATTCTCGCACTGCTCCTTTCGGCCGGGCCACGCTGCGTATGAGCAATGCTTGGCGCGTTAAGTATACGTATTTGTTTGTCCTAAAGGATTTGGCCAAACAGGCCCACATCATGCTCGCCTGCATATGCAAAATAATGCGCTCGAAAATTTTCCACTCGTTGCACTCACTTAGAGCAATGGTATTTTAGGAAAATATGCAAGTGCACTCAGTGCTTTTATGCATTTCATTCTGATTTCATGGAAAGTTATGTTTATCGTGCTCTGTGAATGAAGCAAGTGCACGGAATTGGGAAAAAATATATTTCCATGCCAGGTAAGGAAAATATTAATCTATTTTAGCCATATTACGATAATTGGTCGTACAAATAATTTTGTGCAGATTGTTCGGTTTTTATTTAATCATGTGCAAAAACGTGCAATACATTTTGCAGGCCCCTAAAGCTCGATGGCCATCATTAATGCAGCCATTATTTCGCATATTTTGTACTTTTTATTTATTTCATGTATCTCTCCTTATCGGAGGCAGGCCTGAAAGGGGGCCAAGTTAATTTCAGAGAACACTTTACGTGCTGCAATTTGGAGCGTTTCAGTTGCATTCGGACCCGGGCCAGCAGCACATTTGGTAAGCAATAAATTGACCCGCCAGCCGACGCCATCATCTACTTTAAAAGCATTTGTTGCCACACCGCCACCACACCGCCACCAAAGCCCGGTCGCCGCGCCCCCAATCAGCAGCACTTGGAGCCATCCGCCGCCCCTTGACCTCCCAGAATCCCCTCCAGCTGCCAGAGCGCCATACTCGAAGCGGCGACGACGCTAAAAAGATACCGGAAATGTTACAGGAAACAAAATGACTTAATGGCCGCGATTGCAGCGGCATGGAATCGTTTCAGGCATCCTCCTGATCCTGCTCCTTCCATTTTCCTCCACGCTCCTTGGTCGACAGCCTGCTGGCATTCATGGAGGTTGCCGAGGTCAGCAGAACAGCATAAAGGAAAGCCATGTGCTGAATGGATGCCCTTCTTCAGGCCGCCGTTTTTCATACACATATTTTACAAGTATTTCAAAAAACCATCGTTATTATTTTAAATAAATAAATGCATAGGCCCCTTTTAAGTCACAGCAAAATGCAAGTATTTATTTTTAAGTATAGCCAGCTATAGAGCTCAAAGAATATCTATTATAAATTCCCTATTCCCTATTCTAATTAAATGCTTACTATGTGTAAGGCAAATATGTTCTACTAAAGTGAAGAGATATTTGTGAAGTATGCCTGATATAAAGTGGAGTCCTCCTTTAAATCGAGCCGAAGATGAGCGTGATCTGCCAAAGGCAAGTTACTGTCCATCCGACCCGACCAGAACTGATTCCTTAAACAGGTAATTGCCATTGGGGCATCATTATCATAAGCTAAACAGAACTGAATGCTATTGAATCGGTTTTGAGGTTTGACTTTCGTTTGAGGTGAAACCTATTTCTAATTAAATTAATTAAGCGAAGCGAGAATATGGCAAGTATGCGAGCCAATTAGTGGAAAATGCAAAATTAAATGGCTGATGTCTGTGCACTGAGGAGACTGGGAGGGGGCGGCATGGGCGGAAAAACAGCAAGGAAAAATGGCAGAAGACCAGAAGACCGTGTGATCGCTCAGCCAACCCATTGTCCTTGTCCACGGAGCACTTTGTTGGCCACTCTGGCAATAATTGCGTTGAGACATGTAAGCTTTTGTTTTGCAGTTAGGCGTGTGGCTGTGCGACAAAGTTAATGACAGCATAATTAAACAAAACTAACAGCAGACTAATAAAATGTTCATAGTGCACGTCAAGGCCTCGCCACATCAGCACCCCATCACCTCACCACCCACAGTGCCCTCTCCATATCTCTAAATGCACATACATACTTACGAGTATACACCTGGCGAGCATTCATGTGGGTGTGTGTCAACGTTTGTCAAGCGACAATTAAAGTCATAATAAAGGCATGCTAAAGACAATTATTATGTGTACGTCCTGCCAGGCCGCCCAAAAAGGACCTCCCCATCCCGTTAGTAATGCATAAAGTTCGCCACAAAAGGGTTTAACCTGAGCGTAAACATGCGCTCCTTTGTCTCGCAGGCATATAAATTTCAAAATTAAAGCAGAGTTTAACCTTTGTCCTTGTGCAAATGCACGATGGGGCTATAGCCACCTGCGATTGTGTGAGGCCCGCATAAAGAGCCTTTAGTTTTAATGCACGCGAAATTGACTTATTTGATTTATTTTCACAGTTTAAGCCAGGGGGTTTTATGTTAAGCATGTTTTAAGCAGAGTGCATTTCGGGAATGTGCCAGCAAAAAAGTTATGTTGTATTAAACTTTAAATTCACCTTCTGCCTGCAATTTTCTTGATTGAGTACTGTACTTGGCTACAAAATAGTGCTGTGTTTGAATTGGGATTTTCAAGGTGTATTGTTTCTTTGTTCCTCACACTGAGAGAACATCATACCATTTTTTTTAATTTCACTCAAGTGATGTGACATGTTTTCTTTGCAGAAATGGGCTGAGAGCTTTCTTTGAAAAGTTATCCAACCAGCATGCACTATTCGCTCATAATGGAAAGCGGCTGATTAAATATTAACTAATTTTGTAAAATGCCGGCCTGCTCCAATATTGAACTAGTCAGCGAATGTATTTGCCCAAGCGCACGTAGCCGAGATATATAAAAGGTGGTCCAGGGTGCGGAATGATTAGGCTATCCGTCGACCGACGATGCATTCGACCAAGTCAGCCGTGCTCCTGCTCGCCTTGGCCATCAGCGCCAGCTGCGTGGTGGCCACACCGCATCCGGAATTCTTGGATGACATCTTTGACGCCCTCAACAGGACTGGGCAGCACATCATCAGCGGGTTTTTGGATGCCACCAAGAATGGTACGGCCATAGCTGAAGAGTTCCTGGACAACATAAGGAATTCCTCTGCCCAGTACTACAACGAAACGCTGGAGTTTGCCCAGAAAATCGAAGATGCAGTTCATAGAGCCGCCACCGAGGGAATCACCGACTTCTCCGCGGCTCTGGGAGCTGCCATCGACGTCTTGCACCAGGAGATTGATCGGCAAAGAAACGTCTTGCAGCGAAAGCCGCTTAAGGATGCCCTCGCAAGACTGCAGGCCATCCAAGCCACCGTAAACGATCTGGAAAATGCCGTGAATGACCTCAATGATGAGATAGACGAGAAGAAATTACAGTATTCCGCCATAATCCAGGAGAAGTGGATCCAGTGGGCTGACGCCCAATTGGAGCGAGTGGATGAGCAGACGAATGGAGTTGGCACCGAGGAGGCCGAGGAGATCCTTGATGAGCTGCTCTCCCGGTATTCCGGATATCTGCACAGCTGCTTGGAGGAGTTGCAAGTGCAGAAAGCCTCGTATGAGCAAAATGTCCATGAGGCCGTCGTCAAATACCACAATGCCACCAACAATCTAACCGCTGAGGTCAGGCTCTGCCTCCAGTCCAACCTCAACTTCCTGTCCTGCCGTAATGGCATCAATAGGGCGCTACGCGTCCTCTCCTCGGCTCCCGCGGACTTGATTGCCCTGAAGCTTCAAGGCATCCGAGTGCGGGCCAGCGGCCTGAATGCCAGTGGATGTGTGGGTCAGACCCTCGCCGAGCACGAGCTGGAGAAGCCCAACGTAGAGCGCGAGCTGGATGATATCATCGCACGATACCAGGACGAGCAGGAAGGTTCTAGCTCTGGAGAGGAAACGAGCACCGCGATCGTATCCTAGTAGAAATATTCACCATGTACTTTTAGGTGTCGGGTAGGTGCAGCAAAATAAATTACTCGTTAGTGCAACTAAATTAGATATGGTTTTCCTTGGTGTTTCCTAATGAACAACGCCAATCTTCTCCACAAAATTGCATACCTTTTAACAGGACTATACCAAGGAATCTACCAGATAAAATGTAATGTCCACATACCGATTAACTTAATAAATGAAGCAACACATTTTCTGCGGTTGCTGGCGCTTTCAAATTAAATAAAATTTCACATTTTTTTTCTCCAGTTAAGACTCGACAGCCGTTGCAATTTAAAGACATGAAGCTTCAGTAGATTAAGTATTTAAATGAATTTTGATTTGTCAATTAAATAAGGGTGCTAAGCAATATAGTGACGGAAAATGAAACTAACTTGAACTCATAGCATCTCCCCTCCTTACAAATGAACTGAGTGAATTCCCCTTAAAAGGACTTCCCCAGCTTTTATAAACGTAAATTGTGGTATACCTAAAGTTACGAAGTGTATAGCTTAAGTAAATTCTCAACTTCTATAATAATGAACTTTAGTGCTTTCGTATAATGAAAAACACACAACGCGTAGTACATCGTTTATGAAAACTTTGAACTTGTATGCTTTTATATTTCTCAGTAAAAATGTGTAGCTTTACATCACATATAACAGATTCGCCATAATATTCAAATTATACACCCGTACAACTATCATACAGGACTTCCCTAGCTGTTATAAACGTAATATAGCACTATAGTACACTCTCAACTGCTATAAACATGAACTTTGTGCTTTCGTATAACAATATAAATGAAAAAACACACAACTCGTAGTACAGCGTTTATAAGCACTGAAGTTTTACGCTTTAGGTGTTGCTTTTTATCACATAAAACAGCTTCGCCATAGTATTTAAACTAGCATACATCTTTGCGATTCCCATTTATAGCTCATACGCCCTGTATACATAACTAGCATATTGCATTTATAGCTTTCAAGCCCTGTATAACAAGTGTATGATTTCCCCTTAATGAGGTTGTGAGGGGCAGTGAATGAACCACGTTAGAATAGATATTTGCTGAAATTAAACGCAAGTTTTCTATCTTAGTTTGCTTACTTGCAATTTTATTGACTTCATGTGTTTGAATAGATCTCTTTAGTATCTGAAATTGCCTCTTAATACCTATAGACCACTAAAACCGTTTTCTGTTTTCGGTTTATTATTTACTTAATAAGTATACTTTTTGTGCGCTAAGCCAAACAAAAAGTTTACGGATTTCGAAGCATTGGAAATTCGATTCAGTTTTGTGATAATACTTAACTTATCATTTCAGTTTCTGCCCATGCATAAGCCAAAAGACAAGGACCAGTAAATATGTCCCAAGCTTTTTTAGCCCACTAATTTAGAGTCTAAACGCATATCTCGAAGGAGCTTCGCCCTTACTAATTGGTAATGTTGCACTAACAGTTTGCTGGCAGAATATCGATACATATTCATTATTTTGCATGCATTTGCATTAATTTCATTTTTGTATACCTTATTGCTTATTCTACAACACGAAACAATGGCTTAGATTACATATGAATTTAGCATTAGGAATTTTCTGAATTTTGTTTAGGAATAATTTTGCATTAGGATTACCAAAATCGGGAAAACATATTTTCCAAATTAAAGAGAACAACCAAACAGTGATTAGTGATTATAATTTCGTAGTTGCTTCTATCTAGCATAGATTTAGTATTTTTTAAGTCTCACATCCCTTGTTTTATCGGGAAATATTACAAAAAATATTCTTTTGAATGCAACATATTCCTTTCCAATTTTAGGTAAATAAAGGTATTCCTCAGCACTTACATATAAATATTATGTAAAGGAATTTGAAATAATTTTCGGAACAACCAACTGGACTTTCGCTGATATCATTGGCTTGAGATCATATTGCTACAATCTTATGTTATTGCTTTTTATTGCACTTACGTTCCTTTTATTTCTACTGTGAGCAAATGAACATACTTAAATACAAAGGGTCAGTTAATTCGTTGAGCATTCTGATAATGGCCAAATGAAGTTGATAAACCGCACCGGAACACAACCAACTAAATCCTCAAACTAATTGGCACACAAATGAACCAAAAGCCCCCTTTAAATGTTTCCAGCAATGTCCCTATCTCATTGGTATTCCACCCTGGCCACGGGCACCCCCAAATCATTGATTTCGAAGACAATCAGCTTCCGTTTCTTGCGGACATTGGGCGATGGAATCGATAGCTTGGGTGCCGTCGAAGTCCTGGTCATGGTCCTTGTTGGTGTGGTGACTGGGATGGTTGGCTGCTGCTTCGTTGCCGCTCCTTTCGTTGATGCCTTCGTCGTTGTTGTGGCTGTGGCCACTCCTTTGATTAAACTCTTATTCGTTGTTACACCCAGTTTTCTCTTTTGCTCCAGCAGTTTCGGATTATCCTTTGGCTTTTCCTGGGGCTTCTCTTTAGTCTTATCGTTAGTATTTTCCTTGGCTCTCTCCTTGGTCATTTCCATGGGTTTCTCCTGGGCACTCTCCTTGGTCTTGACCAACGGTGGCAGCGCTGGTAGATCGCAACGCTGGCGCAGATGACGATACACTGCATCCACCCGCTGGACCAAGCGATTCACATACTTTGTGGTCGTTCGGTCAACAATCGAAGGCGCCTTGATGCAGTCGTTGCCTCCGAACTCGCAAACCTACAAGGAATAAAAATACATATAAATAAGATACATATTTTATTTACATTTTAGGCTACACACTGACCCGATAATGCTGCAGAATGGCCTCCTTTGGCGGCACGTTGAGGGATCCCTTGCCAGGCGCAAATTCCCAAACGAAGTGGTTGCCTGCCTCGACAACTGCCTCCGGTTTGCAAATGTACTTGGAGCGTTGCTTCTGGGGGTGCAGCTTGTATCGCCTGAGGTCATTTAGATATCAGTACGTATCATCGCTATTCCTTCTCTTTGATAGATTGATTTACCTTCGTGTTTTACGTTGAGTGACTAGATTGGCCCGTACCTTCGCCAGTTGGTCATTGCCGCCCTCTATTCCAGAACTAGCCAAGCTGTCATCCGCAAACTGGAGGTAGTAGAAGGCGTTCTGGAACGAATAGGCTCCCGTGTTGCGATTGCGGAAGCGCTGATTTAGCGATCTGAATTGGAGGAAATAGCAAACTTCGTGATACGAGGGCATCCACATATCCTTCTCTTCCACTCACCCAATGAGGTCATTTAACGTATCCGAGTAGCGCGGCACAATAAACTCGTCCAGATCCACCAGAGCCAGATACTTGTAGCGATACATGGTGCGGTAGAGGCAGTCGTTTAGGGCCGCAAAGAGTCCTTCGGTCCGAATCTCCTTCTGGCTGCGCATGCGCAGGTTCCACGGCAGGATGCTGACTGTGGGTCGCTGATACGGCGTTCTGAGAACACGGGGCGTGGCATTGTTGGCTGCCTCCGCCGGCGTCAGGGGCTCCAGATCGTGGGCGGTCAGATTTCCGGGCACCAGACCCTGTTGATAGTTCTCCAGGACGCAGGAGGCGTGTGGTCCCAAGGTGTGGTTGTAGAAGGTGAAGTGAGACACCCCCAGTAGGGCATAGAATTCCAAGTACTCCATGAGATACAGTGCCTGATCGTAGTTGAAGTGCAAGGGCTTCACGCAGACGGCTATGCGATCGGGTATGTTATCGCCACTCGGCGGAGGACGACCTGCAGGCGATCCTCTCCTAACACTCGAATTGCGCGGCGGGCTCACCACAAAGTCCGCATCCTGGTCGGTGTTCCGCAGGCTCAGCAAATTGCCCGGCGGAGCACGCAGGCGGGACACCACACTCACGAAATGAGGAACTGCCAGGGGTGGAGTTCGTACCGGGCACAGGATAAAACAGGCGCTGTACTTCAGATTCCAGTTCTCACGAATAATCTATAATGTTAGATTGGTATGAGTGCTATGAAATAACATGGAATAACCGAATGTAACCGTAACGCGTATAAAATTATATCTATATTCGGATTGCATTTCTTTGTACTTGAGTACCAGACTATCGGTGTTTCAATATCAATTGAATTTCCGTGCGGTCGTGTGGAAAACGCGAAATAAAATTAAGGGCTCACCTTGACGCGAGCCATCACAGTGGCCGAGGAGTACTTGGCACGTGCCGACGAGGAGCCCGCATCGGTGCCATTGCCAGGACTCGGTCCGTACCAGAATCGGCACCACACCCGCTCCGGTCCCCGGGTCTTGGTGGCGCCAACCACTCGCACCAGGCGCGCTCCCTCGCGCCGGTCGAAGTAGGCGGAGTAGACAAAGAATTTGAAGCGGGTGCCGTTGACAACCTGCCAGGCGCCATCGGTGGGCCGTGTGCCAAAGGGGAAGTGGGGCAGGGTCTCCTCCACCTTGTCCGGCAGCACCTGGCCCCAGGGTATGAGCGGTACATTCACGCCGAACGCTCCTGCTCCACCCCCGCCGCCGCCATTCAGAAGCATCCCGGCCAGGCGCTGGCCATCGGCGCCTGCGGCTTCTGTGAAATTGGAAAATGCATGAGACATGGGGCGTATACGTAATGTGCCATTGTCGCAGCCATCTTCTTTGTCGCCCAGCCTCAGCCTTTTGTGCCGGCGTTCTTACCTTGAATTTTCAATTTATTGTCGCGCAGCTGGACAAATCCTAATTTATTATCACTCAAAATGCTTGCGTCCAATAGGTCGTAATCGTCCTGCAATAAGCATTGGTTATTAAATTAAACTAACTGTAATATGAAATATGAAATCCCTTTACAAATGAACTAGATGTTATGAAGTTATAAAATTATACAACCAAAGCAAATTCATTGGAGTTATTCCTACCTTTCTCTCAAGCCTGCAAAACAATACCCGCCCGCTTTTTGAAACCCCAATGAACGAGTTGCGCGCTAAGTCGCCGCTGGGCTGATTTGCATAGTCCAACTTACCTTAACATTATCATAATCCGGCATCGAGTCGCCCATCCGTCCGCCCAGGCTGGCGCCGCCCCCGCCGCCCGCCCTCATCGCCAACATGCCGCTGTGGGTGCGCTCGTCG